CATCTTTCTTTACTGCTGAATAGAACTCCATTGTGTAAATATACCACATTTTTGTTAACTACTCTTCAGTTGAGGGGCATTTAGATTGTTTCCGTCCCTTAGCTATTGTGAAAGGAGCAGCAACAAACATGGTTGTACAAGTGTCTCTACAATAGGATGAGTCCTTTGGGTATATGCCGAGGAGTGGTATAACCGGGTCATATGGTCGGTTCAGTTTTAGTTTTTTGAAAGTTCTCCACACTCTTCCATAGACGTTGCACGAATGAGTTTGCAATCCCATCAGCAGTGAATGAGCATTCCCCTTTCTCCGTAGCCTCGCCAAAATTTGGTATCATTTGTTCTCTTGATCCTAGCTCAGTCTGATTGGGATAAGGTGATACCTTAAGGTGGTTTTAATTTGCATTTCCCTAATTACTAACGATGTTGAACACTTTTTGAGATGTTTCTTAGCCATCTTTATTTCTTCCTTTGAAGACTCTTTAGATCTTTAGCCCATCTTTTCATTGGGTCATTTGGTTTCTCAATTCCTTGTTTTTTGAGTTCTTTATATATTCTGGATGTTAAACCTCTGTAAGATGTGTCACTGGTGAAGAAAATTTTTTCCCATTCTGTGAGTTTTCTCTTCACTTTTTTGATTCTCTTGCTGTACAGAATCTTTTTAGTTTGATGAGGTCCCATTTGTTGATTGCTGACCTTAATTCCTGAGCAACTGCTGTCCGATTTAGAAAATCCTTTCCTACACTTTTATCTTGTAAGTTACTGCCGATATTTTCTTCTCATAGTTTCGGGGTTTCCAATTTCACATTGAGGTCTTTGATCCCTTTGGAGTTGACTTTTGTGCAAGGTGAAAGATAAGGATCTAGTTTCATTATTCTACAGGTGGAGATCCAGTTTTACCAGCACCATTTGTTGAAGATGCTGTCTTTCCTCCATTGTGTGTTCTTGGCACCTTTGTCAAATATCAGGTGGTTTAAATTATGTATACTCAGTCAATGATGTTCCATTGATTTCTGTGTCTATTTTTGTGCCACTACCATGCTGTTTTTATGACTATAGCTCTGTAGTATACTTTGAGATCTGGTATAGTGATCCCCCCAGCATTGCTTTTTGTGCTCAGGGTTGCTTTGGCTATCTGGGGTCTTTTGTGCTTCCATATGAATTTAAGGATTTTTTTTTTTTTTAATTCCGGGAAGTATGTCATGGGGATTTTGATTGGGATTGCATTGAATCTATATATTGCTTTTGGTAGGATGGTCATTTTCACAATACTAATTCTTCCAATCCATGAACATGGGAGGTCCTTCCATCTCCTGGTGTCTTCCTCAATCTCTTTAATGATTTAAGTTTTTCATTGTAGAGATCTTTGGTGTCTATGGTCAGATTTATTCCAAGATAATTATTTTTTTTGCAGCAATTGTAAATGGGAACATTTCCCTGTATTCAATTGCTTGTTATTGGTATATAGAAAGGCTGCTGGTTTTTGTAGATTGATTTTATAAACTGCCACTATTCTAAAACTGTTGATCAGTTCTAGGTTTGGGTATTAAAAGATGATATTAAAAGATGCTGATATTGTTTTGAATAATTAAGTAGTATTTGTTGGAGGTCTTTAAATGTCTGGTAGAATTCTGCTGTAAATCTATCTGGGCCTGGGCGTTTTTTAATTTGGAGGCTTTGTATTACTGTTTCAATTTCTTTATATGTTATGGGTCTGTTTAAACTGTTGATCTCTTCTTGGTTTAACTTTGGTGGTTCCCATGATTTTGGATATCAATCCTCTTCTTTTAGATTTTCAAATTTAGTAGTATATAGGTTTTTAAAATAGTCCCTTATAATAATCTTGATCTTTTGGGTGTCTGTTGTGATGTTTCTCCTTTCATCTCTGATTTTGTCGATTTGGATTTGCTCTTTCTTTTTGTTAACTGGGCTAAGGGTCAGTCTTTCTTGTTTAGCTTTTCAAAGATCCAGCTCTTAGATTCATTGATTCTTTGCCTTGTTTTCTTTGTTTCTATTTCATTAATTTCTACTCTGATTTTTGTTATTTCTTCTCTTCTGCTGGGTTTCGATTTCAATTGTTCTTGCCTTTCCAGTGCCTTGAGTTGCAGTGTTAGGTCATTTATTTGGGCTCTTTCTAATTTTTTAATGTAGGCACTTAGAGCTATAAACTTCCCTCTTAGGACTGCTTTTAATATGTCCCAGAGGTTGTGTTGTGTTGTATTGTCCTTTTTGTTGAATTCCAGGAATTCTTTTATTTCTTTCTTAATTTTTCCTTTGACCCACTCATTGTTTAAGAGTGTGTTGTTCAATCGCCATGCGTTTTTGTAGTGACTAGGGCTTCGTCCAGTGTTGGTTTTGAGCTCTCTTGCTTTGTGGTCCTATAGAATGCATGAAATTGTGTTGATTTTTTTTTGTTTTTGTTGAGGTTTGTTTTGTGGCCCCAAATGTCAGTTTTTGAAAAAGTTCCGTGGGGTTCTGAATAGAAAGTGTATTCTTTGGTACTTGGGTGGAATATTCAAAAGATGTCTGTTAGGCCCATTTGATGTATGGTATCATTTAATTCAGATATCTCTCTGTTTATTCTTTGTCCAGTTGACCTGTCTAATGGAGGCAGTGGGGTATGGAAGTCCCCTGCTATTAGTGAGTTGGGGTTAATCTGTATCTTAAAGTCCTGTAGTGTTGTTTTTATGAATTTG